GGGTGCGGGGGGGGGGGGGGGGGGGGGGGGGAGAGAGAGAGAGAGAGAGAGAGAGAGAGAGAGAGAAGAGTCTTCTTTTATTTCTAGAAAACTCTGCGGATCTGCATGGGGCTACAGCGAGGAGGAATCGGGGCTGCAAACCACACAGGTAGGCAGCCCCACCACCCCTCATCTTCATCTGGTATCTGTCTCTTCTTGGTGAGGACTCCAAGGGCTGTGCAGAAATTACTCTAAATCTCGATGGCATTTCTTCCATCCCCAGTGCCTGTCGCAGGCCAGTGAATAGCTCAGCTTTGTTCCCTGCACAATGGGAACAGCGCTCCACACCCTGCAGCTTGCTCAGTAACATGCTAAGTGGCCACCAAGGCTTTCTCCAGTCACATCACTCACTTCAACTGCCCCTTTTAGCACATGAAATGGCAGCCCTCTCCAGGGACCAAGTGTGCCCTGGCACCCAGGAGGGAACACCCTCATGCAGACAGGGGTATTGCCATCATCTGTGTCCTGGTAAGGTTACAAACCACACTCAGCCAAGCCGGGATACTGCCCTCCAGCTGTGGGGCTTTTGGGGAGCAGGTAGACCTACAGCTTCTCTGCAAAGCTGCAAGAGCTGCTCCTATATAAGAGGAGGCACCTGTGTGCAGGGAAGCTGAATCTTCCCAGCCATGTCTGGAACCAGGCAGGAAGGATCCTGTACCTCAGCTTTTGATCTTTACAGACAAGTCATTACTGAAACTCTCAATTACGGGATTAAAGACAAACGTGCTTCCTGCATACACAGGGCTCACCTATCCAGCATCGGCCTGAGGAGTCAGCGACAGGGTGGTCCTGTCCTGCCAGGCTGCCCGGGGGAGGCAGGGGCTCTTGGGGACCTGGTGTGCCATTAGGAAGACCCAGGGACTTCACTGGAGCACAGTACAACCCTCAAGCCCACCACCCTGTGTTTGTCCCTGCTCATTTCACCATGGGCAAGGCTTGCAGTGCATTGAGAACAGAAGCTCCTGGAGTGTGTTGTCTTTGGCACCACTGAAGTGCCATCTGCAAATACAGGCCAAGAGAAGCTGCTCAGCCCTGGCTCAGGGCACTTTGCCAGCACTGCATAGAAAGCCTTTCAGTGGTCCTGGATCCTCACCTGAGCCACCACTCAGATATTACACCTCCCCAACCCAAACCTATCACAGATCCACCAGATTACTCTCATACTCAAGGTCCAGTGATCTCTAAGACACCTTCTGGGTAGCCAAGACAGGAGACAGACACTGCATCTGCAGACAGATGCCAGAAGGGGCAATTTCAACGGGGCCCTGCCTTTGTCCAAACCTTCTCTTTCATCCCTTCCTGTGGGGAGACGATGATTGTAACTGTATTTTCCTTGTCACATAGGAAACTGGGTATCTGAACAGGCAGAGGCAGGTGGAGTAGGCAGATCACAAACCCTCCAATTTTCTGCAGAAGAAAAATGCACCCACGTGGGTGACTAACTCTGCTGCGAGAAGGTTTCCTTCTGAATCTGAAGAGACTGTACAGGGGAGCTGCAATAGGGGTGATGAAAAGCCAAGACTGATCCTGATGGGAGCAACAACACAGGCAGGGATGCAATACAGCTGTGGGTATGATGACTGAAGCTGATGACTGAAGCACAGCAACAAGACAGACCAAGTCTCCCATCCTTCTGCAGCAATGTCCCAGGACTGCAAGCTCCCCACTCCCTTGCTTTCTACAATGCAGAGAGAGGGAAGCAGGACAACAGCTGGGAACATTGCTGAGGACAGCAAAAAAGAAACCAACATCATCAAACAAGGCCTAATCCAGCTTGCATGCAGCTCCTCTATGTTAGTGAGACACAACAAATCACACGTCTTTGGGGCAAGAAACAACTGCTCAACTCCCCTTTTAACACCACCTCCTCTCACCACCACTATGCTCACTCTAAGCGCCCTTAACTTCA